GGAGCGGAGGCGCGCGCCCCCCGGCGGCGGGGCGGGAACGGCGCGTGCCGCCCCCACCCCTGCCCTCACCCCGCCCCCGCCGCCATTTCATGCCAGGGGGCTGGGGCGGTGGGCACGGTGAAAACTGTTCCATATAAATCTTCCCGTAAAAAATCCTCCTGCGTGCCGCCTGCCCTGCTGGGAGGAGAAGCCCCATCCTACTGTCCCGCTGACCTGCTCCCTCCAGCAGCACGCGGGCCTGGATTTTGTGCCTGAGGAGGTGCCTGTCCACAGGGCAGTGTGGAGGGCTGTAGCAGGTGCCGCTCGGCCGGGTGTTCCCATGTCTGCTGAGGGTTCTTCCCTTTCCCCTTTCTCTTCCCAGCCTTTTTTCCTTTCCTCGTTCTCTCTGCCTTTTTCCTTTTCCCCTTCTTCTTCTTTATCCTCTCCTCTTCATTCTCTCTCTCCATCATAGATCACATCTCACTCATCTCCCTGATCCTCTCTGATCCCCCTGATCCCATTATCCTCAGCCATCACCTTCACACACTGTCACAGCCGTGCCAGGGGCTCAGGAGGCTCTGCCAGCCCTGGGAATTCTCCAGAGAGGGCACTAGGCTCCAAGCCTCAGGATCTGGGCTAGGCAGTCCGAGGGTGAAGGACGCTCCATGCGCTGCTCTGGGCTGAGCTCCTGTCCCTCTGCAGCTGGGTGAGCGATTGGTCCCAGAGTCCTTCAGGCGGGGGTACCAGACACTGAGGCAGCCTGTGGGGCCATTCCTGGGTCTGCAATAGCCTGAGAGGGCTTTGGACTCCAAAGGCTGCTTTTCAGAGAGCCATGGGATGGGTTAAGGTGGAAGGGACCTTCAAGCCCATCCCATTTCCACTCCCTGCCATGGGCATGGACCCCTTCCACTATCCCAGGCTGTTCCAAGCCCCAGTGTCAACCTGGCCTTGGACACTTCCAGGGATCCAGGGGCAGCCACAGCTGCTCTGGGCACCCTGGGCCAGGGTCTGCCCACTCTCCCAGGGAACAATTCCTTCCCAATATCCATCCCTGCCCCCTGGCAGTGGGAAGCCATTCCCACTTGTCCCCAGTCCCTCTCCCACTCTCCTGGAGCCCCTTTAGGCACTGGAAGGGCCTTTAATGTCTCCCTGGAGGTTGTAGGTTTTTAGGAACTGAAGTCTATCTGGACAGGGAATGTCCTTCTTGATGTAACTACACCCCAAACTATCCACATGGCTGCCAACTTCTCAAAGTCTCATGGATCCCAGTATCTCTTGTGGCTGCCAAGAAGGGAACACACCTTCCTTGGCCATGTCTGAGGAGAGAGGGGCCTCACCAGTGCTACTGCTCTCTCCCAGAAAGGGAGGCTGCAAGGAAGGGCCCTAAAGTAAGGAGTGGGCTGTCAAATCCACACAAGAAGGATGTGACAGGATAAGGGGAAATAGCATCAAGTTGTGCAAGGGGATGTTTATATTAAATATTAACAAAACTTTTTTTCCTGGAAAGGGTCCTAAAGCCCTGGACAGACTGCCAAGGGAAGTGGTAGAGTCACCATCCCTGGAAGTGTTCATAAAACATGTGGATGTGACACTTGAGGACAAGGGTTAGTGGTGAACATGGTGGTACTGGCTTGACTGGATGATCTTAAAAGTCTTTTCCAACCTGAACAATTCTCAATGCTTTTATCTGGAAGAGCTCAGACACAGCAGCTTTGCCAGGGAGAGAAAAGGGATTTGGGGCTTTATTTCTTGCCTTTGCCCTTGCCCTTTCCCTTCTTCAGTTTTGACTTGTAGATGGACCGCACCAAGTAGCCTTTCCAGAAGGCCTGGATGCAGGTGGCAGCATTGTTCCTCCTGGCCTCTTCCTGTGCAGCTTCCTCCTCCTTCTCCTTGAGTATCTTGTGTTCCTCCTCAATCTGGGTGTACTCCTGGAGCAGCATGGCGTGTTTCTCCATCAGCAGGGACAGCTGTACCTTCTCCTCGTTGTAGACAGCCTGGACCTCCTCATATGTGGTCTGGCAGGACAGCAGGGATCAGGGACAGCTGGTCAGCAGCTCCTCCCCACATCCCCAGAAGAGGGTCCTGAAACCCCTCCCAAAGCCATGGAACCTCAACTGGTTGGAGCCTTTCCAAAGGGATCCAAAAGGAAGGCATGTGCCCAGTACCCAGGGAGTTTCATTATGTGCTGGGTCCCTTGATGCTCCCCTGAAAAATGCTCCCATACACAATGCAAGATTTGGAGAAGCAGCAATGCATCTGCTGGGGTGGTGGAATGAGCTGAGCTCTCCACAAACAGCCCTGCTGTGTCAGGAACTGCAGCAGGAACTGCCTGGCACAGCCCCTCTGCCAAAGATTTTGGGGCTTGTACTGCAGTTCTAACTTGGGTTTGATGTTTTGTCAGTGTGGGGGTGGGTCAGCCTTGACAAATTCTGCCCCAAATATGGGGCTCCTGCCTCTCCAGGGACAGGAAACCAAAATAATCCCATTATTAAACATCTGACAGGATCATTCCTTACAATTAGTAGCAGCTTTCAGGCCCCTCCCCATATTTTCCTCTGTAAGGAATCCAGCAGCTTTTATCCAACCCCATATAATACTGCAGGAACAGGAAAGCCCCCAGGGCCTTCCTAGAGGCAAGTTTTGGGGGTGCTGATGTGATCCTAAGCCTTTTATGGCTCAGTTGGGGGCAGGCTGTTGGGTTTCTTAACACCCAGCACATCCCCCAAGGATTCAGCAGGAACAGGAGCAGGATTTGGACACCAGGTAGGGCCATGAGGATTGAGGATTGGAGCACAACTGAAAAACCGGTTTCCTGACATCAGGTGGACATCCCAGACAGAACATGGTGACCCATTTGCCCCCAGATACTGTGGGATTTAGTGGATTTAACTTTTCCTAAAGCCAAAGCTGCAGAGGACTCCTGGACACACAGGCAGGACAAAGATCCCTTTCCTGTAGGTTTGGCTGGATGCAGAACTGCCTCTCACTTCCATGGTCTCCTGGGTAAGAGCCATGTGTCCCTTTGGACAGGAATCTACCCAAGCAAATCACTTTATGGCAGAGCAAAGCATTTAAAGCCAACACCTGTTTTTCTGTCATGTCTGTGTCATATTTCTGGACCCATTCCTGAATTTCCTTCTCTGCTTTGCACTTTTCCTGAAACACAAAACAAGATCAGATCCTTGCAGACATCTGAGGCCTGGTAAGAAGTGTCCTGAGTGAGAAAACAGGGAAACTTTGAGCCACAGCATCATTATATCTGAATATTTCACCGCGTCCATGTGACAAGCTTCCCTCAGCTGACACATATGTGGTGTGCCCTGGTTTAAGGATTCTCCTGGGACATTCCCAAAGGGCTTTATTTGGTTTACAGCATGGAGCTGGGGAGATGAACAGCACCTGAAGTTGCTTTCTGCAGGAGGAAATGAACATGTCTGATGGAATGTGGCAAGTCATCGACAAACTGGGGCAACCACCTTGAAAATGAAGCAAAAGAGAACTGCAAAACATGAACGTGGGACAGAAAGTACTCAGAAGATGGTGCCTTTTAAAATAAATAGATCTTTCTGGCTGTAAAACAATTCAACAGTGGCTGTAGTCCTGTACAGCCTGGGGCTGTTTACCTCCAGCTCTGGATGTGTGCTCTGTGGAATCATTCCTGCTCCGTTTCCTGTGTGACATTACCCCAGGATGGCCCAAGGGCTCCCAGGCCATCACGAGGTCACACCTGAGCTATTTAGACCACAAGTACAACTTGTACTTGCTGAGGAAAGGAGGCTTCTGTGGTCAGTAAATGCATCTGCCAGGGTGCTAGAATGAGCTGAGCTCTCCACAAACAGCCCTGCTGTGGCAGGAACTGCAGGAGCAACTGCCTGACACAGCACCTCTGCCAAAGATTTTGGGGCTTGTACGGCAGCTCTGACTTGGCTTTGATGTTTTGCCAGTGCCCAGCCCTTCATGCTGTACCACCCAATGCAAGAGTGACAGATGCCCCATCACCACATGGGCTTCTGCACATGGGAGACTGCACTGCTTTGGAGAGAATACTCAGGATGAGCAAAATGAGAAAGAAATGCCCTTTTTCCAGTTCTCAGTTCTCTGTGTCACCAGTGTGTTCTGCTCAGGGCAGAGCTGTTGCTGCAGGGGCCTGAGCCTACCTGCTGGTCCCATTCCTCCTCCTGTATCTGCTCAGCCCTGGGGACAAGGACTTTGCGGTGCTCGTGGGTGAGAGCTGCACCTGCCCCAACCCTGAAACCCCCTCAGCCCTGGGCTGAGCCCCCAGCGTGGGCAGCAGGGGAGGGGGGATTCTGCTCCTCTGTCTCACCTGCAGAGCTGCCCCAGCCCTGGGGCCCAGCACAGGAGGGACCTGGAGCTGCTGGAGAGAGCCCAGAGGAAGCCACAGAGATGCTCCAAGGGCTGGAGCCCCTCTGCTCTGGAGCCAGGCTGGGAGAGCTGGGGGTGCTCAGCTGGAGAGGAGAAGGCTCCAGGGAGAGCTCAGAGCCCCTTGCAGGGCCTGAAGGAGCTGGAGAGGGACTGGGGACAAGGGATGGAGGGACAGGACACAGGGAATGGCTTCCCACTGCCAGAGGGCAGGGATGGATGGGATATTGGGAATTAGGAATTGTTCCCTGGGAGGGTGGGCAGGTCCTGGCACAGGGTGCCCAGAGCAGCTGGGGCTGCCCCTGGATCCCTGGCAGTGCCCAAGACCAGGCTGGACAGGGCTTGGAGCAGCCTGAGATGGTGGAAGTTGTCTCTGCCCATGGCAGAGGGTGAAATGGGATGGGCTTTATGGCTCTTCTGGGATGATTCTATGAAATTACATTTCTCCCTCATTCAGCCCAGCCTGACTTCTTGGCTTGTCTGTTCTGCCAAACTGGGCAGAGCAGGACCTGCTGAGCCCTCAGCATCAGCTCCATTCCACCTTGAACAATAAATCAGCTCTAAAAGATGCCTTCTACCAAGGCAATATTGTTTGCTCTGCTCCCCCTACAGCAGATTCCTGATTTGTCACTATAGTACACATGTCGTGCTCCAGCCTCGCTGCCCTGAGCCCTGCCCGGTGTCACAGCACAGTGGGAAGGTGTTCCCAGAGCCGAGGCAGCCAGCAGGAGCAGGACCTGTGACAGCTCTGTCCCTGCTGTCGCTGCAGGGCTGCTTTCCACTGGAATCAGCAGAGCATGAGGACAGGGCGGGTGTGCTTTGACAAACACCATGTGCATCCTGCCAGGAACAAGCAGGGACCAAGGAACTCCTTGCAGCAGGCAGCAGCCAGAGCTGACAGCTCCACAAAAAGGCTTAAACCTCCTGTCCCAGAGCTCTCCTCCCCTTTACCTTCCTGAGAACCAGCTCTGAGGCTCGATGCTCCAGCACCAGTGCATTGAACTGTGTTCCCAGGCGCTGAATGTCCTGCTTCAGCCTGGCACACCTCTCCTGGGAGGCTTCCTTATCCTCTTTTTGCTGCTTTTCCCCTTCCTCCATGATCAGCCGGATGTCAGCCTTGCAGTTCTTGGCCAGATCTTCCATGCTAGTTTTGAGGTTTTCAATTGTTTTGTCCTTCCTGCTAACCTAGACCAGAAAACAAGAGGAATACCTTTGGGACATGCCCCTGAGGCATAAGGTGGGCAGGAGAAGAAAAAACATTACAAAGCTGGAGGAGGTCCAAGAAGGGACCCCCAGGGGCCAGCTCAGGTAGCACCAAGGCCCTGCCACTGTCGGCTGAGGGAAGAGTTAGATTTACACAGGAGCTTTGGAAACCTTCCCCTGGCTCCTCTGGGAACCTGTTAGTAAAGGCACAGAGTGAACAAACCATCCCAAGCCCCACTGGCACTGCCACCTGAGGAGCAGCCAAAACAGATTCCCTGGAGGAGCCCTGTGGCTCCTCAAGGGCTGGATCAGGCTCTGAGTGACTGACTGGGGGACACAGCTCAGGAGGGAAATCCCCAGCTGGGATCAGTGAAACAGATTTATTCACCATGTCCTGGACAAGCTGCCAAATTGCACATAAAAATCTCGATTCCCAGAACTCCAAGGAGCAGAGGGAAAGGGGAAAGCAGGCCCTTGGCTCTGCCAGCAGTGAGCACAGGGCAAAACCTTCTCAGCCAACCCCTCTTGCAGGGAGGAGAAAGAGAAACCCAGGTAGAAAACAAAGGATTGTTGTCAGAAGCTCTGGGCTTGGTACACAGGCTGGGAAAATGCCTGGGAAATGCCCAGTCAATTATCTGCACCTCAGCTGCAGATAAAATTAAAGATTCATGTAATTTGTATAATCACTGATTAATCACAAATGCTCCAAGGCAGCTGTTAGAGTCAGGAGTCACAGAAATGTTGGTTTTAAGCAAGAGTGAAGACAGAGCAAATATTAAAAATGGATTTTAATCAGAGCAATCTCTCCCTGTAATGATTTTTCATTCTTTCAGCAGCAGGGAATGAAGCAGCTGGCATTGTCACCCTGCCAGGATACCACCACAGAAGTTCGTGCCTGTCCTGCCACTCCTCTGGAACTCAGGGACTTAGGTTGTTTAAGCTGGCTGGTGACAACAGGTTCAAAACATGCCAAATCCGAGTTTAAAAAAAAAAAAATCAAGCATGCAATATGCAATTATATTTTACATTAAAAATATTATTTTTAAGTTTTAGGTCTGGTTTAGAAAGGATTTCTGGAACTTGCTCTTTAGGAACTGCAATAAAGGGATCGGTTTATAGTTAGCAAGGTTTTGCTCCAGTAAAAAGCAAGTTTCCACTTGGTTGGAAAACTCATTCCCACAAGGTCATACCTCTTCATCTCGAGTCTGGATGACTCCTGCCAGCTCTCCCTGTAGAGCTGAGATAATTTCTGTGTCTTTCTCAACCTGGAGGGAAATGTCATTCATGAATTCAATCATTTCCTTCTCCTCATCAGGAGTGGTCAGGAGCCTCTCAAGCATGAAATCCCGGAACTCCATGAAGGCTTTGATAAACACATCAGCTGGTGACTCTCTCACCCGAACTTCATATTTCAGCCCATGGTAAAGCAAGGGGTTGGCCAGGAAGAGCCTCAGGATGTTTCTCAGGGAACATTTCAGGCATTGCACTGCAGCTCTCATGCTCTTCGCATCTCCAGGGCTGGTGAGCAGGCGCTGTATTTCCATTGAAAGCTTCTGATGCTCCAAAAGGCTGCTTGTGATCTCAGGTCCCAGCATCCCAGCATACCTGTCCAGGGAGCCAGCAATCCGTGGGATCAACCTGGTGATCTCCAGCTTGACAATGGTCTCATCCAAGACAGTTAGGATTCTTTCTGTCTCCGTGCTATCAGGCTTTAGCTGGCGTGGATCTAACAACTTCATGACACTTAATGGGATCCCTACCTTCCTTGGAGTTGCCATGCCCTTCACCACGGTTCTTTGCTTCATGAGGATGCTTGGAATGCAGCTGGATCCCCTGTTGCCATGGATTCAGTTAAACACCAGTGGCCTGGGTGGTTTGAGGTCTAGAAAGGACGCTGCAGCTCTTACACAAGGTGAGACTCTGGGAGAAAATGGAGGTCCCTGTGCTGCTGCTGTCACATAATCTTCCTTCTTGGATTTTCTCTCTAAAAAGAAAACACAGTGACAGCATTAGAGAAATTATGTAATTTGGGAAAACATGAGAGTCTGAGATTCTGCTGGAGTTCTCCCTGAGCCTGGGCAGGGGGTCAGGACATGGGGTTGTGGATTAGAGCTTGTCTCTGTCCCAGAGCAGCTGTCAAACACCCATGGGAAGGGGGTGATGGATTCCTGGCTTTGAAGGGTGGTGGGGAGGAAACTCCCAACAGCTTCTGAGCAGCAGCTGAGGTACAGCAGCACAAGCTGCAGCTCTGCAGTCCCCAGAGGGGTGTGGAGAGCCCTGGGGCCACCCTGGAGGGAAGGGTAGGGTTCCTAGTGGGAAACCTCCATGGAAACCTCTACCCTTCCAGGCCTGTCCCTGTCAGAGAGTGGAGGTGGGAGAGGGGATCTGGCAGGACTGGCAGGGATAGAGGCAAGAGGAGGAGAGAGGGAGGGAGGAGATGGGGACAGCTGTAGCGGAGGGGCCGACAGGAAGTGAAGGGTCCCCTCGGTGTGGGTGTGGGACAGCAGGAGGACCCAGAGACTGGGGAACAGTCAGAGGTCGGGGCGGTGATTCTCGGTGGGGAGACCCCCGTGCGAGGGGCGGGCGGCTCGGGGCCGGTGCGGGAGGATCCGGGGGGTCCGTGGGACCAGCGGCCCTGGGCATCCCGGGGGCGGGACGGGGTGCCTCAGGAGTCGGTTACCGGGGGATGCCGTCCCCAGGCGGCCTCCACCCCTGCAGCGCACTCAGTTCCAATCCGGGTCCCGATCCCAATCCCGGTCCGGCTCCCGATCCCGCCGTCAGCGCCTCCCGTTGCCAGGCGACGCGAGGGGGCGGGGCCTTTCCCGGCTGTTTACCGAGAGCTGCGCTGGCCATGCCTCCTGTCGCTTGATTGGCAGCGCCGCTGTCCAATGAGGAGTCCCGCGGCGGCGACGGCCGGGTGTTGGGGTGTGTCATGGCGCCGGCGGGGGCCGTGAGGGGTGAGGGGAAGAGGGACTCGTTCCTCCGAGCTGCCCTGATCTGAATTCCTGAGGGCACGACGAGTAACCCGAAGAATAAGTTTTATCCCCGCGAGGTCACGTCTGCCAGGCACCGGTCAGCCCAGTGGGTGTCCAGGAGCCCCGAGGGGTCTGTTTTGAAACGTCAAAACACAATAGAGTTCCCCTAAGCCGCACTGTTAACGTGGCTGGTTTTACGAGGCCATAAAAGTGATAATGAACCTCAGCTGATGAAGATGCTGATGTTGTACAGGCTGAGTTAATTGCTTACCTGTGACTTACTGACGTCTGCAAAGAACAGGATGGCCCTTGAAGGCTGCCCTGAGCCGTGCCCTCACCCTGTGCCCAGGCAGTGATGGATGCCCTCGGGAGAGGAGGGTTTGGTTTCCAGCAGGAAACATGGCAAAATGCTGCGCTCCCGGCCACGCTCACAGCGATGCTCCGTCCCTCGAGGAGCTGGCACAGCACAGTGGCCACGGACAGCCTTGTCCCAGGTCCCAACCTAACCTGGCATGAGCAGCTCCTTTATTTCTGTGCAGGGAGTGTCCAAGTTCAGGAACAATTCTGCTCACCCATTCCTAACTGCTTCCCTGCACAAAGCAAATGACAGGCTGGGAGATGTAGTGGCACTGGTGAGGATGGACAAGGGGACACTTGGCCTTCCTGCCCACCTGGGCATACCTGGTACCATCTCCAGCACCTCCAAGTCATTTTCCTCCAGGCTTATTACCTGGAGCAGTGACCTCCATGTGGTCCCTCCTGCCCGGAGTGGCTCAGTCAAAGGACTGCTTCAAATCAAGAATGGAATTGAGTGTGACAGTGACTCTGGGTTTGGGTCCACCGCAAGGTGGGACATGCCCATTCCACTGTGGGAAGAAGGGGCAGCTGGAGCTGCGAGTCTGGGCCAGGTGCCCTGTAGCCTCCAGGGAAAGCACTGACCTCTCCAGGAACATCTTTTCAAGCTCTAATTCAGCAGCTGGGATCACAGTGGATCTAAATCCAGAAGATCCATGATTTCCTGGCCGCACTGTGATCAAAAGCACAGCAGAGCTGTGATTTGAGGCTGCAGAGGGGTGTGCTGTCAATTGGATGTGTCCTCACAGAGCTCATCACATAACAGAGAACAGGCCTTGAGACATGGAGAGCTGCTGCTTTTCTTGACAAGGACTCCAGAAGGGATCCCTGACCCCCCTGAAAGGCTTCCACATGCACCACAGATATTTTGGAATGAAATCCATCATGAAAAGAATGTCTTTCCAAAGTTGAAGAGTGTCCTGATTGCTTTGTTTGAAATGTGCTGCTGCTCTCCAAGAAGGGCAGACTTGGACTTCCTGACAGCCATGACCTGGAGATGGCATCAACTGGCCAGTGACTGTCACCTGAGTCCCCTATATCCAGTGTGCACACCCTGCTTGAAGGGACAGCAAGTCCTTGTAACATCCAGAGAAAGAGGAAGGAAAGAGGTGGAGCCGTGGGTCACATCCAATCCTCCTCTAAAATAGGGAAAACTGTGGATCACTGCTGCTCCCTCCTGGATCTGGGTAATTACAGACATTGCCATCTTGCAGGAGGAGATGGGGGTGATGACACATGTCCAGAGCAGTCCTGACTCGTCCTGCAGCTCCACACTGCTCCAGGCCAGCAGCAGCTCTTCAGCCAGGAAGAAAACTAGGTCACTTTGGGAGCTGGATGAAGCATCACCAAACCTGCGTCAACCCCACCTCATCCAGGATGTAGAAAAGCCTCAGATCTATTCTCAAACTATTCTCTGCCCTCAAACCCACCAGACTGCATCACTGCCTGAGCCAGAGGCGCCCAAGAATCCAAATTATGTGGGGCATGTCCAAGCAGGGGAGGGAGAGCCAGAAGCCCCTGGTACAGCCTGGGTACACTGTCCCCCACAGTTTGAGTCCAGCTGTGTTCCAACAGCAGGACTGTGACAGATACCTGAGGGCCAGAGACTTCCCTGGGCCCAGCTAGCCTCACCCACCACCCAAACCCCTCTCCAGGTGCTGAATCCTGCTCCTCTGCAGCAAAGGGAACCACAGCTCAGTGTGGGAGCTGGCTGGCTGATCTGCTTGGAAAACCATGATACACCCCAGCCTGGTTTGCCCAAATAATTTCCCTGTTCCTGCTACCACCTCCCCCTGTGTGGGACCTGGAAAGGGACATCGAGGAGGGGCATGATTTGAACTGATTGCAAAATGTTGGTGAAAGAGCAGAAGCACACAATGAAGCCTTGCTGCAGGCAACAGCACCCCATCCTGTCACTGCAGGGACAGTCCCCTCCTGCCACGGTCCTTTGGCTGTAGCTTTACATTGTGCTCTGCTGGGAACTTGGAGCTCTGGCACTACACCAAGCCCTGGAGGACTCCACAGGGCCAACTGATCCCTGACCACATCCCTCCTGCAGCTTTGGCTGCTGTTCCCATGTCACACTGTCAGTGGGATGATGGTGTCTGTATCCTGAACAGTTGGGAAGGAGTTTGCACTTCCCTGGCCCCCAAAGCCTGTCAGGAAGGCCTAGGCAGGGCACAGAGAACCCAGAGAGTCCCTGCAGTACAGAGCTGGCTGAAGGGATGCGGGTAGTGGGGTTGGTGTAAGCTCGGAGCTAAAGGACCCAGCAAGGAAAACGGGAGGGCTGGAGGTGCTGCGTTGGCTCTGAGAGCACCAGGCTGGAGCTGGGTGGCAGGACCAGGAGTGCAGAGGGACACAGCCAGCTGTGGACAGCTGTGGCACAGGAAAATGTCCCTGGGACTATCAGAGAACTAAGACCAGAGTGTGTGAGTTTGGTCCTAATTTGTCTGCTGAGGCCAAAACTTAAATCCTGTGTCCAGTTCTGGGCCCTTAATGACAGGAGAGACTTGGAGAGGCTGGAGTTTGTCCAGGGAAAGGAACAGAGCTGGGAAGGGGCTGGAGCCCCAGGAGAGGCTGAGGCAGCTGGAAAGGGGCTCAGCCTGGAGAAAAGGAGGCTCGGGGGGACCTTGTGGCTCTGCACAGCTCCTGACAGGAGGGGACAGCCGGGGGGGTCGGGCTGTGCTCCAGGGAACAGGGACAGGAGGAGAGGGAACGGCCTCAGGCTGGGCCAGGGGAGGCTCAGGGTGGATCCTGGGAATATTTCTTCCTGGAAAAGGTGGTCAGGCACTGGCACAGCTGCCCAGGGCAGGGCTGGAGTCCCCATCCCTGGAGGGGTTTAGCAGCTGTGTGGATGTGGCACTTGGGGACATGGGGTAGTGGTGGGAGAATGGTTGGACTTGATGCTCTCAGAGAGCTTTTCCAGCCTTAATGATGCTGTGATTCCATGAGTCTGCAGCAAGTCACAACCTCCATCTCCCAGGGGAAAGCCAGCTGCTTCCTGGCTCTTCCGAGTGGGAGCTCGCAGGGCTCGGTGAGCACCGAGCCCCAGCCCCTGCAGAGCCCGGCCCGGCTGTGCCAACAGCCCCGGCCTGCCCGGGGAACGGCCCAGCGCCAGCCGCTCCAGAGGCGTCAAGGCCACGGGGCTGGGGAGGTGGCAAGGACAGGGCAAAGGGAGACAGGCATCACCCAGCCTTGGGCCTCTTCATCCCGGGGTGCTGCTGCGTGCCAGGGCTGCCTGTCCATGGGAGTGCTGGCACCAAGGACAGCACCGAGCTGGGGGACCGCAGAAGCTGGTGACAGGCTCCTCCCAGCACGGGAGGACGGGGAGGGGCTCAGAGGGGCTGAGCTCTGGAACCTCCGCACAGAGGAGCTCTGTTAGAGCCCTGCAGCCCCTCTGCCTCCACGGCAAGGAGGGGACACATCCCCGCTCCCCCTGGGTGCTGCTGCGTGCCAGGAACCACTTGGGGACATGCCCTCCCCCAGTGTGCAGGGCGGGTGCTGTTTGGTTCTA